ACACTGTTTGACAGTTCAAAATGCGATATATATTAGTTAACTTTTATCAATTTAAATTAACAACAGTGGAGGGTTCACAACAGCCGTGGTGACAGAAGGAAAGTACTGACTAGACTAAAAGTCTATAGTCCTGTTTTATACACAAAAAAGTATCAAAATAATTAATATATCGTGAAAGTAATTTTATATAGCTACTTTTAGTACTAGAAATTTTAGCAGCATGACACATCTAACACGTTAAAATCGATACCGTCCACTAAATATTCAAATTCCGCACCTCCCATTTGTGTGTGATCAAAGAAAAAGCGAAAACAAAACTTGGAAGCGCAAAACGTAACATGAAAGGCGTTTGAAATAAAATTTTGAATTAAAAGTAAACATTGGAGCGGAGTAATTCCACCGAGCGTCGCTTTTAGGAACTTCAAATGATTTTTGATGGCTACCTGCTTGTAGCTAAGCGTTTAGAATACCTATGTGGCCACGAAATTTTCAGTTTAATAAAAACTGTATTATTAAATAGAATACTTAACATGTAGTTACACGTCACACGAGGTTTCTGCCATAAAGACTTCGATATAATGTCATGATTAAAATTAAAATAAGTAATACTTTTCACAATTAAGATTGTTCAAAATTATGTTTGACATTTAACAATACCACTACCAATCGTTTTTGTCGTAGCGCTTAGCTACGCCGTAGCATCTACAGGTAGGCTTAGAAAGTAGAACTAATCTGGATTTTATCAACTTTATCTTAAAGAAACATAACCTATAGTAGAACAGTGAATAGTAGAGAAATGCTAAAATAATTAAGTACCAATGGCAACTAATGTACCATTGTGTGACATTTAAATCTGTCTTAATGCATACTGACTGTGTGTTTTATTGTATATTATTATTTTTTGTGTAATCTAATATTATACTCGTAGTACTATGTACTACGTACGTAGTATCACAGTTGAATTTATATTTTTATTATTTATTTATTGCAACTTCAACATTGACGGCATATATGTCCCTTTAGCGAAATATAAGGTGGGTGCTAATTCTGGGTAAAATATAAATATTTAGAAATTATCTGTGGATACTGAAGTCTTATCTTTGAAACTCGGTGAGAGAAAGAAACATTCTGACTTAAGCAAACGACATTGCCTCGCATTACATTACGTTAAAAAAGAAAGAACATGTCTTGAAAAATAACTTGTTAAAAGAACTTTTAAGATATCTATTTATTATTAACTAGCTGTGTCACCGACTCCGTCCGCGTAGAATAGTTTCCACCTCCAAATTTGTTTTTATAAACCTCCTCTACATGTTTATAAGTTCCAAGCTGTTATACGTCCGTCGGCTTCCGTCGTTCTTCCAAGTTAATCTTAAAAGATAGACATGTAGCGCCCAGGACATTTTTTAGATCATTTTAAGAAAAATCCTTTTTCATACATATTTTTTGTGTATTTTGAATCGTTTTCGCGGCGTACGTATTGGAAACTCACATAGATGAATAATTTTCCCTTTTTTTTTCACATTTCCCGCTGTTCCCTCGCTCCTATTAGTCACAATGCAATGTTTTATAGCCTAAAACCTTCCTTAATAAATGCTCTAACCAATACAAATTTTTCAATTCGAACCAGTATTTCCGGAGATTCCTTCAAACAAACAAACTCTTCAGCGTTATATATTAGTATAGGTATTTTATATAACCTGTAAGTAACGATAACAACACAGCAATGTCGAGTTCGTTCTCTAATAAATTTATTCGTTTGCTCTAAAAAAAAAAACATTCGCCCATTTCGTGGCCACCCAGTTAATGTTTTGTATTAATTAACCCGGTATAATTAAAGTGGCGTGCAAAATACTGGCTGGGCTTCTATCTTTATCCTTTCCAAGTATAAAGTTGCCTCTGCGCTTGCGAGAGAAAATTAGGTTTTTAAATGCTTCCCTACTTGTAGGTGATTCTAAAAACCTTGTGTATTATACAGTTTTAATTATTACAGTATCGTAAGATAGTATTTTCAAATTATTTAGAGGAAATAAATAATGCACACTTGAATTGAAACAAGAATAAGAGTGAAAACTTGCTTTTTATAATAATACATGATCGTCAATAATCATGGCAATGAGTAGTTCTGTGGTTGAATTTATTACTTAGCACTTAGCGCGAGAGTTCCTGGGTTCAAATCGTTCGGCACATAGTGTTTGAACAACTACTACCAAATATCCAATAAGTATGGTCGGACTTAAAATAAATGAAATAAATAGACTATATTTCTCAGATTTGAAGGCGTTAAAAGTGTTTTATCCAAATGTCCAAATGCACTACTTGCATAAATAAGAGCAATTACCAAAACAAAAACTGCAATTTTATGGCCCCAAGTTTAAGTAGAAATAAGAATCCACACTAATACAATTAAGTTAAGGTCTTATGATACTTATTATTACAATTAAATTATTTATTACTGCAAGTTGTATTTAAAGAAGTCATGTCCATTTAGAAAAAGTTGTATGCAAATACGTATTTAGCCACGGTAGTAGCCAGCTTGAGGCCTGAGTCCCAGCTTTGGGAACTATTAAATGAGTGACAACTATAAAAACCAGTAGATAAGTGGAAAAGTTGTGTCCATCAAAATCAAACACTTTTATTGACTTAAAACGGATTCTTTGCTGTCCATCTAAATTAATATTACTTTTCCTGACGTTGGCAACACTGAGCTAGCTACCAACATTAGCTAAAAAGCTCAATTGAAAACCTTGAGCTTAAATTTTAACAATTCGCATAAACGCTTTGCTTACAAATGACCTTTGATAACGTTTTAATTAATAAAGGTTGATAACGCTGAGTTCAGAGGTTATTATTTTATATTGACGGCACTTCATGTTATTATAAACTGCTATAGCCGGCTTTATTGGGTGCAGTTTAATTTAAAATGCAGGAACGTAAGTATTGTTACTGTAGTTACTATTAATATATAATATAATAATACTTAGTAAAATTCATGACCAAAAGTTCTAAATCATAGTGAAGTAAATATAAATATTATCCACGTTCTTCCATTTAAATAAAACACTTTTAACGGTTTAAAACGCGAAATTTTTAGTAACTACGGCTCGCGTATTACACAAAAGTATTTTATTTGAAGCCGAATAAATGTGGATATTATTTATATTTATTCTAATTGACAAGATTCAAAGATATTCAAAATTAAAGCGAATCAGTCAGCAAGTTATTTCTATACATCCTCTGTGAACAACTAATCGAATAGATTGGGATGTAATTATTTTTGTATTAAAAATATATCAAACAAGGGGTACAAAGTTCGTCCATTTTTTCATCAGTCCACCAGTAAGTAAATCCCATAAATCAGACGAACGGAAAATTACTTTTAACATTTCCATACGAGCCTCGATTTTTGTATCCCGGCTCACAATTGAGGGGATCAAACTAATGGGATTCCCGGCTAGATTATACCGGGATTATACCTCTGTAAAAATTACGCGCTACCCATCCCTATATCGCGACCGTCTTTATGCAAAATATATCCATTACACGCTTATAATAAAGTCGAAAATGCCGTGAAATAATGCGAGGAAAATTCATTTTGCGATGAATAAAAATCATATAGCCCGGCTTTGCTTTATCATTGCGAAGAGTAATTAGTTTTTATAAAACGCGACAGTGTTATTCTTTGTACAAATTATATTTCTTTGAGGGTAGTTGATAGGCTCAGTAGAAAAAAATAAACATTTTACTCGAATATCTAAAGCCAAAATTTTATTAGAGTCTTACAAGCTTATGTTAATAGTAAGTATTATTAGTAGATAGGCCATATTAATTTCATTATTTAATATCACCAGATCAGTTTTTCAGGACTCACAGCCGAGAGTTAGACTTACTAAGGCAGGTTCTAATCTACCACGCGTCTGTAGGTCTACAGACACTTTTTGCTTTTGGAAAATGTATGCTTCTTTGTGGTGACTCATTTAAACAAAGACATATTTTAGTAAAAAAACTAGTGTAGCGAGGCGTTTTTATGATAGTAGAGGACAGACGAGCACTTGATGGAAGGTGAAATATTCGAGCCATATAACATCTTGACAAGATACGCTGTCGAACGTCCTATTATGGCTTTAGATATACGAAAATCCACAGACTGAATCCGAAACACGATTCAACTTCACCGCTTTTTATCTGTGGGTGTATTGATATTCCTACCATTTCATAAACAAATTGTTTCAAAAAAATATCCCGGTGGGAAACGAACTCTCGACCCATTGTTATTAGGCATCAATCACTGCCATTAGACCAAAGAGCTTGACAAATCGTGTTATGTTATACGTTAAAAAATATAGGTATATAGATATAATCTTATATGACATTATTTCTATATTAAAGTTGTTGACTTTAATATAGGAACTAAAATAAAATGTTTGATTATTTTTATCAAAACACATATAATCAGTATTAGGGAAGCGTATTATTATTGCCTATAATGATATACCGAACAGTTTCGAATACCATGCAATTACAACATAAATACCAAGGATTTATTGCTGATTACCAATCCCTATTTAAAAAATAATACGGTTCTCAAACTTCGAATGCAAAGCGATAATCATTATATAATGAAAACAACATCATTATCATTACATCACTCGCTGATACGATAATCCCCATAAAACTCTAACGCGTGAATTTTTTTCATGAAATTTCCCCCGCAACGCTGGAACAATAAAATCTATCAAGAATCATATTATTGTGTTACCTATACAAAGTGATTGTCACGAGTGGCATGGCGGGGGGGACTGGGCGGGGTCTGATAACCCACGCCCATCGGACGCCGATAAGGTCGAAAGTCGTATATTACAAGCGGAGAATCTCGTCTGTATCGGCGTGATAGAGCGGACTCTACAACGCACAGTGCTTTAATACATAGTCGCGGCCGACGCGGGTAGCACGCACGGTCAATCCTCAAAGTGGCGGTTATGTTTTGACGTTTCTCGAACATGGAAGTAAGTGCCATGTTGCCCATGCCCTTGGACTTTTCAATGGTTAGGAACGGATCGCCCGGGATAAGGGAGGAATCGCCAAAAGTGTCGAATAGTGCTTTCCGCATTGTCACCCCCAAAGGTAAGTAAACATTTGTGATTAACACAGTTTATCTGTATGCTGTCCTTATCACGCTTATGGTATTTGTGTTTTAAAGGAAAAAGACGGCATATAAAATACTTAATTATATCTCTAGTTTCTACCAACAACGAATCTAATAGTGTAATTTGCAAAAGCTTAAAATTGAGGTTAGGAACAATTTGAAATAACGTTCATAGCTGTCAAAGTCTAACATTGTATTGAATTTCTTGTACTATGTGTAATTATTTCTCAGCGAAAATGATTTTCTTAAGTTTATTCGAGTAATACTACTGTAGAATTAAAAAAAAACTATACAAAGATAGGTATAGTAGTGCTTAATATCAAACGTAAAGATTAATAGGTCTCAAAAAAAATGCTAGTCATTATATATGTTTATAGAGGTAGGTGAATAAATAAAGATTATCATGAAAATGTCAAAATTATATACGTTTTACATACCTTTATGTAGGTAGGTAGGTACACTTATTTTAAAAATTAAACGTTTAATCCAAAAAAATTGCTTTAATACTAGAATATATTTTGCAAAGAGAGCACATTAAAATAAAACACTTTAACGGTTTAAAACGCGATATATATTAGTTAAACTTACTTGAAAATAATTTTTAACATCTCCACGACGGTATTTAAGTAAGCATATTTAATAAGTTACATTTAGGAAATATAATAATTTTTATGAGTTATATTACCTACTGTCTCTGCTGTTATAGACTGTAGATTATTATTAACTAGAATTTGCCAACGTTTTTCATAAAATAGAAATACATGTATTTATACATAGGTAAGTAAGAAATTTTAAGCATATGGTTTTACTTTTAAGATACCCTTTCGTTTTTATTTTCATGAAACTGAACATCGTATGCTGAAGTAAAAACAAATATGCAGTTTTTAAAACCAACCGACCAAACCAAAATTGTCTTATTTGATGCAAATATCTTGCTGCATTTTAGTAATCTAGCGCATTTATTAAGTATCTTTATTCTACCAAAATAGATATCATATTCATTTGCGAAATAGAAGTAATTAAATATTATCAGAGAGAGAGAAAAATTCATTTATTTACTACTACTATAAGTCACACAAAACATGAATAACACTTATTAATAAACATAAAAAAAACTTAATTTAATCTTAACAGTATAACTTAATTTTTACACTATAAAATAATGTCGTGTGCAGTTGGTGGAATAGGAACTTACTCAGCTTATATCAGGCCTTTTTTTGACCTGAAACTGATTTTCAGTAAGTACTTAAGAGTGTGGACAGCGGTGCCACACGCAAGTGAAAATGAACAAAAGAAATTTTGCCACACTTCTTGAGTAATTTTTAAAACCTTTTCCTAATAATAAAAATAATACATTATATTAGAAATATCTATTTCAAGAAGACTGAAAAATTTAGTTGAGTAAGGACACTGCAACATAAAACACCCGTTGTATATAACTAACTACTTTTTTAAAACATAGCTTCGTTAATACCTACCTTTTTGACTTTTGTGAGTACTTGTACCTACATATGGGAAACTGTACAAAGATTAGAACAGAATGAATATTGTACATCTCGTAAGTGCCTGAAATATGTAAAACTGATCCAAGCGGGTCTCGAACGGACTACCATCAGAGTACTTTTCATTTAGAAGTCTTGACGTGGATTATCAGGTGGAGCCCGAAAATGTCAAAAAGAATGCGTTTCTGATTGGTCAAAGTACGGTCGGTTCAAAGGAGAGCTGAAATTTTAATTTTCAATTCCCCCGATGGGAGGGCGGTACTTTTTTCTCGCCTCGGAAGACTTTGAACATGTAATCAACTTTAATTGAACTGAGCTATGGATTAGCTCTAACGGTGATAATTTTTAAGTGATAAAAGATTTAATATATCACGTTTTTGTATTGTTGCCTTTGATTTATCTAGTATTATAATGTCTGATTGTTTGATCTAACAATGTTTAAACTTGAAAATACTAGAAAGACAAACGAAAAAGAAAATTGAAACAATAAGGGTTAATTAGCTACGGCTACAAAATAATTATAAAATATGTAATAACTTTAAAAGATAAGATTAAAAACCTTTAAAAATAATCGAACCTAAACATTATTTAAATCTTATAATTTATATTTACCGTCCTGTTCTAAATGTGTACCGAAATACCGCACACGTTTAGCTAACAATCGTCCTTTTTAACCCTCACAATACAAATATCTCACAATATCCCTCAAAACGTATTCAAAAGTAATGACGCAAAGGGGCACACGCCTAACCCGGCACTACAATAACACCATAACACTAATCCACCGCTGGGTCCCAACGACCCTCTAAATTGTAACACTTGATTTCCATTGTTCATTTTCGTAAAGGAGATAATTTTTCGGAAGAAGGATCAGAAGATAATTTAAAATATAATACATAGAAAAAGTAATTAGTATAAATTAAATAATTTTATTGTATACAGTTTTATGATTTAACTGTTAAGTAAATAAAAATAATAATTTTACTTAAGTTTGATTAAGAATAGTCTACTATTATAACAGATTTATAAAACTATTGCCTGTATTTTCCATAGATATATGCGTTGAAAAAATACTTTAGATTTTTTTAAATACGAGATTAGTAAGAGTATAGAAGATAGTAAAGAATGCAAAGACATATATTCGTTAAACAAAATAAAAATTCATGAAAATTGAGGACAAACGGCGGCTTTATAGCTCTTACAAGCAACCGCGATGGAATCAAACAATAACAAAAAAGGTATGCGTGACAGTAGGAAAAGTGCTTGCTTGATCTTATAATAACAATAATACGAAAATTACCTTAATCTTACATATTTAAATAAAACACTTTAACGGTTTAAAACGAGACCCCCCGTGACCGGCACACGGCTGCTGCAAAGCATCCGAAACGTCGGGCCGAAGTTAAAAATCATTTCCAAATAAGTTTAATTAATATATCGCGTTTTAAACCGTTAAAGTGTTTTATTTAAACGTGTACTACTCGTGTAAACTATAGACAGTATTCAATCTTACATACTTTAATTACTTACTTAATTAGAGATACTAACTTTCAACATTTAATATGTCTCGCTTTTGACAATGTTGTACAATGTGACAGTATTGATCGAAAATACCGAGGTACAGCGTCCGGTGGGTTAAATTCGAACTGCCCACACGTAGCTACATACATGAAAAACGTAACTCAGTATCAATAATAAAATCAAATTACACAATTAATATTATATCAGACGAATGTAATCGGGATTGGTATTATGGTCCGAGACATCTGATCCCGCGTAATCCGATTTGTCTGATCGAACACCGGTTTATTGGGTTCGCCAGAAATACTGGATCTACATTGATTTTTAATAGGATTGCAGCGTTTGTTTTTCTTTGTTTCAATTACGTTAGGGCAGGCTATTTTAAGGCAAACGACTTTCGTTTAAAAAAAAATCGATTTAAGATTTTAAAAAAGGGCTCTTACTCTTGAACTGGACGATTGAATCTTGAATAGTCGTCGTCAAGTGACGTCAAAAAATTTCAATTAAACATCTGAAAATATAAAAGTTTTCAAACTTTCATTATACTTAGGCCAGAGCTTTAAAAGTGATTTTATATAAACTTTTAACCGATAATTAAATTTGTATGTATGTTTGTTATGATGTCTCGTCGTGACCACGGCTGCTGCAAAGCATCCGGAATGTTGGGCTGTAGTTAAAAATAAATTTCAAACAAGTTTAACTAAAATATATCACGTTTTAAACCGTTAAAGTGTTTTATTGGAAATATAACAGTGTAAAAAGCAATAAGATGAAAATCGATTGCGTCTTACGTCCTTCAGGTAATACGATCACCTTCTTGGATCCAAACCCTGAAAAAACTAAACATACAGACATCGGCATATGTCCCAAGCCCCATTTAAGTACGTAGTAAGTAGGTACATGAGTCCTTAAGTTTCAATAAGAGTATTAATTAAAATGTCCATTTGGACAGTCCTTTTCTTTCCACTTGTGATTTGTACAACGTCATCGATCATCGGGATGGAAATCCAATTTGTCCGCATTCAGCACTAGACGAGTCGCCCCTAAACGAATTACCGCGCACGCGCCTATTCGCCAATCATTCGCTATTTTGGGCTAGAGGGATATTAATTCGCACTATATGTCGCGCAGTTTAAATTTTTAACCGTAACAGAAGGCCCACTATCTTCGGTTTGAGTCCCGCCAGTGTCTAAAAATGCAGCATACATTGTCCAGTGTCCATTTGACACGAAGAATCACGTCGGGTCGTAGTTAAATTCAATTTAAAATAGGTAAAATTAAGTAAGTAAACTCAATTGTGGCGTAAGAAGCACTAATGCTGAACTTTTAAACAGATATAATTAAATGTTTAAATACTGTCTATAGTTTACGCGAGTAGTACACATTTAAATAAAACACTTTAACGGTTTAAAACTAATATAATATTAACTACTTTAAACTATAATATAATATAAATAAATATAATATAAAATAAATATGATATAAATATAACTAATATATCGCGTTTTAAACCGTTAAAGTGTTTTATTTAAATAATTAAATGTTTCTAAAGGTACGGTGTTAACTTAAATGCCGTGGGGCATCGTGTGAATACATTTCTGTGTTCGTTGCACTGATGTTTTACAGGCAAGTAGTTGATCACACTGGCCTGTCTGACCGAAACATGATATTGTTTTCCCGGGATTTGAACCCATTGCCCATTTAGATACAGAGCTGGTTATTTACTGGCAGGGGTTGTGAATGATTAAATGGCTAAAAACTTCATAGCTGATGAATTTGGTTTACATAAGCGCGTTAAAACATTTCTTTGACATCATAGTCCTATAATAGATAAGTTGAAAAAATTCGACGATGAGGTGTAGGACTCGGTAGCTCAATTGGTAGAGCAATGGCACGGAACGCTGACGATGCCGGTTCAAGTCCTGCCCGAGTCGAAAATTATTTCAATTTATTTT